AATCTTACCATTTGCAATGACATGGAGGGAGCTAGATTGTATTATGCTAAATGAAATAGGTCAGTCAGAGAAAGACAAATACCATATAATTTCATTCATATGTGGAATTTAAGAAAGAAAACAGATGAACAAAGGTAAGGGGGAAAAGAAAAAAAGGAGACTAGGAAACAAGCCTAAGAGACTCTTATTGATAGAGAACAAACTGAGGGGTGATGGAGGGAGGTGGGTGAGGGATGGGTTAGATGGGTGATGGGGATTAAGGAGAACACTTGTTATGATGAGCACAGGATGTCATATGTAAGTGATGAATCACTGAATTCTACTTCAGAAACCAATATTGCACTGTATGTTAATTACCTAAAATTTAAATGAAAAAAAAAAAAGTTTCAAAAAAAAAAGAATAAAGTTCCCAACATCGCCATGAGTATTGGCACCAGTCCTCTGCTCCTGCTCCATGGCACACATACAATGTCCCTTTTCCTTTTTTTTAAAAAAAATTTTATTTAAATTCAATTAGCCAACGTATAGTATGTCATTAGTCTCAGATATAGAGTTCAGTGACTCATCAGTTGTGTATAACACCCAGTGCTCATTCCATCAAGTGCCCTCCTTAATGCCCATCATGCAGTTACCCATCTCCCCACCCATCTCCCCTCCAGCAACCCTCAGTTTGTTTCCTTTGTGTGTGTGTGTGTTTTGTTGTTATTGGTTTTGCTGGAGGACCAGTTAGGGGTTTATTGCCAAACAGTGAGAACTTCTGAGCCCTGGACAAAGATCATCTTTGAGAACGCTGAGCCATCAGAAGCACCGCCAACCTCATTAGGACTTTTGGCAAGAATAGTTCATAGGCAGTGAGGAATGTGCACTTCTATAGGAGATGTGTCGTGTCTGGTTCTGAGCCCCCATTGACAATTCTTTCCTCCATCCCTTATTTCACTGGGTTTGATAAGATGGTGATATTCCTTTTTTTTTTTGCACATAAAATATGTTTAATAAATATTTTGATCAAAATTAAACTAAGAAAAAACCCCAAATAAATAGTAAGTAATGCTACCAAAACAATCCAGAAGAAAAGTAAAGTATGACAAACCAATAGCAAGAACATTAAAACTATGTCTAGGTAAGATGACCATGTCAGGGAGTCCCCTCTGTCTATCCAAACCTACAAATTAACCTTGCAAACTTGCTCAAGTTCTGTCTTCTCCAGGAAGCTTTCCCCATCACTTCTGGTGTGCACCAGGTTCACCTCTGAACTTCCAATTCTGCCTTCTGCCCTTAAATCTTCTCTTGTCCCCAACAGCTTTAGCCCCTTCTACCATTGCCTACAGGTCATCCTGTAGACCCTTTAGCATTATAGTCCACCTCCTTCAGCTAAATTCCCCTTCAGCACTAGAATCCTTTTGACAGAAAGCACCCTCCCAGCCATTCCAGATGGGAGACCTCATGCTCCTGCCTTCTTTCCATTCCTGCCGGTGGCTTTACCTCCAGGCTGTCACTGCTTCTCCAATACCTGCCACCTTCCAGACTTTGCCTTTCAGAAGTGCCTCCCCACCACCCCTCTTCAGAACCTGTTTAACAAGAGCTGGTCCGATCACATCTTTTCCCTCCTCTGAGGGAAAGCCCAGCCCAAATTCCAAAGAGGATTAGAATGCAGGGACAGCACCTGATTCACAACTGACCTCAGCTCCGAATTCCTTGTCTTCTCCCTTACCCAGTGCTGCCCTTCCTTCAGGCCAGGTTCAGCAAAGCTTTTCTCTGATTAGGAGGTTTCCCCTAAGGGCAATCTTGTCGCATACTCTGTGATTCCACTGACCATCCTGTCCTCCCGTTAGAGAAGCACCCCCAGCAGACCAGAACTGCAGGAGCAGGACTGGATTTCTCTCACACGCCACCAGCACCCACCACAGTGCCTGAAAACAGCCCGCTCTCAAGAGGTCCTTGGAGCAGGAGTGAAAAGTGAAGGGTGGCTATCAGTGGCCTTTTTTGTGGCAGCTATGCTTTACATTTGGTACATTTGGAGAGAGAGTGATTCTAATTCCATCACTTCTTCATTTATGAGTCACTTCTGGGTGATGCCTGGGAGCTAACTCTTCAGTTCAGAACTGTTTAAAAAAAAAGAAAGGAAGGAAGGAAGGAATCAAGCGTTTTTCCTGCCCTTGTAAGAGTGAGATCAAAATAAATAGTTGACAAGAAGTTTATGTTCATAGAAGCATCCTTTGGTTTTGTATTTGAATTACTTCTGAGCTCTACTCAGTGCTTCTTGTAGCCATTACAACTTTACTTCTATAACCAGCCTCTCAAGTGTAGACCTTCATCTCTCACCTGGACCTGCACTGTCCCCAATGCATTCTGTAGCTTCCAAGCACTGAGCCACTTAAGCTAGAGATTCCGAATTAACTGTTGGGGTGGGGCTGTGGCATCAGTGATTTTGGTGTGCAGTCCAGGGACTGCTGCTCTAACCCACCCTGCACTTAACATTCTGCTGGGAAAATATTCAAACGCCAGTTGGGTTATGAAGGATGTGAGATCCAAATTCCTGAGCCTAACACTGGAGATCTCTGTTCCATACCAATCTAATCTACGGCTATAATCTACCGTAGGCCCCTCCTTTCCTGCCAGATTGATTTCCTTGTATTTTTTATGTCTGAAGAAAAATTACTTCCCACCTCCCTCCACCCAAACACTCATACACAGGCACAGGACACATGACCTGGCAAAGGATTTTTGTGGCGTATTTATGGACAGGAGTCTGACAGATACACATTTTCCACACTAAAACGTTAGCCCCTGGAAATATTTGAGAGTGGATAGAAACAGTGGGGTAGAGTATTTAAAACGAAGCCAGTCCCCTCCCCCAAAGCCACAATATTTGCTTATTCATTAGCTTGACTGTTTTCTTCAGAGAGACTTCCAGGGAAATACTCATAGTAAGCATCTAAGCTTGCTGAAAGAATATCTTTGGGCTAGTTGACATGACAGAACAGCTCTCCCATCACTTCCCTTTAAACTAAAGGAAAGCAAAAGTCAGTGACAGACTGTGGCCTCTTTGTGGCCTTAGCAAAGTCAGTGACAGACATTTCCTAATTTGTGATCAATTTCAACACATCTGTTGTCTGGTCCACTGGTGATAAAATCCCTCCTCATGGATGGAGCAACCTGGGGCAGCTTCTGATTAAAACTTCCTCCTCTCACCTCTTCCCAGAAATAGAGATGTTTAAAATTTTCACACAAATTAAAGGAAACTAAAACTGAAACACAGAATCACATTTTCAGAAATCTGACATATGACTACTCTAAAGGAGGCCCAGTTTGCCAGGGAATTTTTTTATATGAAGTCAGAAATGGAAATTTCTTCTAAGGGGTTATCCATTAATCAAATCACGAGACAGACATGATCTGGCTCTGGACATCACAAGCACTTAATACCTGTTATTCTTTCTCATCTAGTTTTCTTATTTATCAAAAAGGAAACACAGAGGGGAACTTAGTCATTGTGGTGTTATAAAGTTACATACTTTATAAGATTATTTTTCCTCTGCTTAGTTTAGTGTATATATTTAATCTCAGTAAAAGTGTGTTAGCCTTTTCTTCCTTGTGAATGAGGGATGATGGGAATATTCCTGAATCAAGTTTTACACACACAATGGAGTTTGTAATGAGCATTGGACTGAAGGTCAGGAGAATTGCTTCTAGTTTTTCACTGGATTTATTAAAATGTTTCATTCCACAGGAATCCAGTGGGAATGGCACTAGATCTCTATCCATTCCATGTGAAAACAGGGTCAGGCAATGCTTGTGATTCACACAGGGTTACAAGGGTTAGTAAGTACAAGTCAGGGTGACTGACACATTCTGGTTTGCCCAGGACTTTCCTGCTTTAGCCCTGAAAGACCCACATCTTGGGAATCCCTTCAGTCCCTGGCAAAAGCAAATTCTTGGTCACCATAGTGGCAGTCAGAGAATACAATCTGTACTCTGGGCTACAACTCTACTCTCCGTAACTCCCTGAAGTTATTACTTCTAATGTTCCAGTTACTTGCAGACCTGTGGCTTGTTCTCTCAACTAACAGCTCTACAAACAGCTTTTGGGACCGATGAATAGATGATATCTTCATCTGTATTCCTCAAATAACAATGGAAAGTAAATAAGCATGAGAGGGGGTTTTCAATAAAAGCTCATTGAATTCTAGACATTATTTAATCACAGTTAAATGACAAATTAGGCTTATGGGGTGGGGAAATTGGATCTATTAAGTTATTGTAATAACTGCAGTATTGGACCCCTAGATTCTCAACCAAGTAATTTTGGCCCTTATCTATGATGTAGTAGAAAAAAAAGATGTTAAGAGCCCTGAGTACTCGTTCTGCTTTCAACACTAATATGACTTTGGCAAGCCACTTCCTTCGAACTTCAGCTAGCTCAAATATAAAAAGCAGGAAGTTGGGACCGATGGTTTCTAAGCACTCTTACGGTCTTAATATTCTAGGCTTTGGACCCCATTCAGAGGATGAACAGTACTGTTAAAGGTTAAGTGATGAAACAATTGCATTACAGGTTGTGCCTTCGGTACAATTAGGGAACAGGTATTGCTAGTTCTCAAGGGTTACTTCCTCTTCTCAGCAATGTCTGTGAATATCTGATTCCTCCCACCAAAGCCCAAAGTACCCACAGCCTCCAGTGTTCTTTTTGTTCTCCCACTAGCAAGCCAAGATAAACTGATTTGCTCCCTTAATTGATCTATAAGTTCTGTCTTTTCCTTGGTAACTACAGATTTGCTCATAAGTTTACTGGACTGAGTGGATGACAATCTATTAAAAACAGCTGGCCTTAAAACATTCCGTTTCAGCTGTGCTGTGCTGTCACTTTTCTTTTGTTCATGATTACACAGGTATTTAGATCACCTGTCCCCTGACGACCACATAAATTAGGCAGACAAAAGAAGGAACAAATCAGCATCTCGAGAAACCTATTCTGCCCTGGTCCAAGGCTCTATACTTACCAGAGGATGTGGAAGAAGAAAGCCATAATCTTCAGAAATGTGAAATCTTCCTAAAGATAATAATGGTGTTGTCTTCAAATTCTGACTTGGACGCTCCATAATTTTGTTTGAAGTATCTACACTAAAGCCTGAGTTCCTGAGCTCCCACTACCCCAAATATATCAAAGATCCAGGGTAAAGAAACTTCAGAATAGCATCTTCCCGCTGAAGTTAATTCTGCAGTGCCTCAGCAACAGAGAAGGACCTTGGTCTGAGGTTGAATTCTGACTGCCATGAACTTTCTCTGACACAAGGCTGAGTAAACAATAAGAAACTGCTGATTAAAACAAACAGGTAAAACCACAGCAGAAAACAAATTTCTCCTTTTTTTTTTTCACACAGGTGTATTAAAAGAAGATTGGTTTTATTTTTATTTTTTTAAAGATTTTATTTATTTATTTGAGAGAGAGAGTGAGAGAGAGAAAGAGCACAAGAGGGGGGAGCGGGAGAGGGAGAACCAGGCTCCCCGCTGAGCAAGGAGCCCAATGTGGGACTCCATCCC